CTTATGGTCCTGGCTCCGTTCTATTCTGGGGAGCGTCAGTCCGGTTCCTATTCCACCGGCAAGTCAAAATACACATTACATTGAGACTCACTCACGCTTCCTTCCGTTCGGCTGAAGGTCCCCTGGACAGCATTGATTGCTCCATCATGATGGAGGATTGACTGCCAGCTTGCCATATCCCTCTCTTTCCTCTCAGATCTGGAGGCCTGATCTGCCAAATAGTGCTATGCCACCTAGAAAGAGCTCCCCCTTAATCCCTACTGGCCTGCCTCATCCCCATTCTTCTGACCTGCCCGTGAGGCGTGATAACCCCTGTCCCATTCTATCTGACCCCCTTACTTTAAAGTTTAAGTCATCATTAAATCTTGAATCTTAGACCTTCAACCCTTCGTCCCTTCGTGCCGGTGTTTCCCCTTGGTACAGTAGCCCTTTGGAATGCCCTTTCTCCTTGTTTTGGTCTTAAAGAAGCATCCTTCCAATGAACCCGCCTATGTTCCACGAGATAATCCTTAGGTTGGGTTCTCACTTGCGGAGGCCAAACTTTCTATAGTTGGGGCGTACCTGCCAACCTGTGGTGGGCTCCCCAATTGTCGACGTGCGTTTGGGCCCACAGACTTACAGCTATTGCTCAGATGCTCTAGGATCCCGGTGGGACTGATATCCCTTCTAGTTCAAATAGATCCCATTAGTCTCACTCCAAGCCGCCTGGGTGACATCTGGAAGATGCCGTATGCTGAGACTAATGAGGCGCTGAAAGCTGCTCTTTCTGCTGTTAGTGTTACCTCCCAGGAGGCCGTAAGGAATTGCTTCCACTACCTGCCACGGTATCCAGCACTGGTTGTCTTTTGAGCTCTGCCTCTTCCCTTAGTTCAAAAATGAGGGGTCTAAGATCTGCGCTCTGTGGGGTTCCTTCCTGTTCCTTCCATACCTCGCACGCTTCCTTTTTGGTCCCCAGGGTATGGGCCCTTGCGGGCACTTCTTTCTGTTGACCTATTTAGTCCAGTTCTGAGATTTCTCTGAAGTTGCTGATAATGGGATGCTGTACCTGGTTTCCAACGCAAGCCTAGTCTGGGTAACGGCCCCAGCACTGTCCGGGTTGAGATGCTGAGGAATTCCCGGCCTCATTGTTTGTTATATTACAAAAACAGCTTTCTTTATTTAAAAAGAAAAAGAAAAAGAAAAACATTAGGACATCCATTTGAGCAGCAAAATAAGTAAATGGGGCCTGCTCTCATTGGTCCGGGACTAGGTTGGCTGGCTATAGCCAACCAAGTGTCAGGCTGAACTAGTTCGGGCAAAGCTCAGGCTACAAGAACGACAAAAAGATAAATGGTAGGCCCTCTGCCGAATACTGTGCCAAAGCCCGCATGTGCGGGCCACCTGCTACACTTTCTCCACCTCTGCGGCTGATCGCCTGCCTGCCTGCCTGTCAGCCTTGAGGCGAGCCTGCCTGACTACCTGCCTACCTATCTGTCTGCCTGCCTGCCTCTATATCTGTCTCTTTGTCTGTGTGTCTCTCTGTTTGTCTGTCTGTGTATATTCGTCTATTTTTCCCTTCGTTTGTCTGTCTGTCTCTTTGTCTCTCTGTTTGTCGGTTGGTCTGTCTCTCTTTCTGTTTCTCTGTCTCTCTGCCTGTCTGCCTCTCTGTTTGTCTGTCTGTCTGACTCCCTCCGTCCCCCCAACCCACCCCCCACCTCTCTCTCTCTCTCTCTCTCTCTCTCTCTCTCTCTCTCTCTCTCTCTCTCTCTCTCTCTCTCTCTCTCTCTCT